GGGGGAATTAAGATAAGAAACTGCATTTTCGTTAAAATTGTTTTTTTTTTTTTTTTCAACTTTCCGCAACTTAATTACTTCGGCGACCTGAAGAAGTCATTTGGCCTGTAGGGTAAGGGCCCAGTTTTGGGGATACGCAAGGGCCATTTTTGGGGGGATAAGTGATAATCTACGAGACTATCACTCACCTTTTTCTCCTTTTTTTTTCCCCTCTTTTTTTACCACTACTAATCTATCACACACACACACACCAAAAAAAAAAAAAAGAGGGAAAAAAAAAAAAAAAAGAGGGAAAAAAAGAAAACGATGAGTGTTAGTCTAGTGAATGATCACTCATCCCCAAAAAATAGGCCTTACGGGACAGGCCGAATGACCTCTTCAGGTCACTCAAGTACAAATTGCGAAACGGAAAAAAAAAAAAAAAACAGTTGAAAAAACTCGATTTTTTTTTAATATTATTTTTTTTAAGGTTGTGCAGGATGAGTCGCGCGAGTGTGATTATAAAAAACCCGATTTTAACGAAAACGCCGTTAAGAACAAGGAGGTGGAGAAAGGAGTTGCTCCCCACCCAGCCAGCCCCCCCCCTCTTTTTTTCCCCCCCTCCGCAAACCTTTCATCATACAAGCCAGTAGCAGGCAATCACTTACGAGGCGAAGCCGGGTACAGGCCCCGGTAAAAGACCACGTATCAAACTCAGTTTATTATTGTATCAGGGACGCTCGGCCCGATGGGCCCGATTCCCAGCAGGTGCGGCTGTCCACCAATGGAGTGAAGCAACTGACGACAAATTTTCACCGAGAGCAAAAAAGAAAAAGAAAAAAAAAACAGAAAAAAGAACCAAAAAACGGAGGAGAATGTTCCCCAATTTTTTTACTTTTTCTTTCTGGGCGGGGGGGGAGACATTTCTTTATGTATGCACACATGTCATCCTTGAATGCGCAGAGGCCATGCTAATCTTCTCTTCAGCGTTCCAGTTCCCCTCCCCAAATAATTTAAGACATTCCTCGACTTATGCGTGTGATCCGCGGTTTCTTTTTTTTTTTTCTTTGTCCCTTTTTGGGTGATCCGCGGCTTTTTGACCCCTGAGGATGGCTGAAGTGGGGCCCAAACATGTCGAGTCGCGCCGAGTTCAACCTCGTTTTCCACTCTTTCTCCTAGATTGGTTGAGCTACGACAGGCTGTTTTTTTTTTTTTTTTGTTTTTTTTTTTAATAACGGGCCCAGTGCCCAAGGCTGATATTACAAATGAGAATATTGAGGCCGGGGTCCTCACAGTCTACCCGGAGCAACCAAAAGGACAACTGCTGAGAACTACTGAGAACCGGGCTCAGCCTCCTGTGTTATGTCTGTTGTTTTAATGATTACCTGTAAGTCCCGTTCTGGAAATTCAGTGTGACCTTTGTATCTTTCTTCTATTCTCCTACTTTTTTTTTCTCTCTCGCTCCTTCCTCCTCCTCCTCCTCCTCCTCCTCCTCCTCCTCCTTCTGTCTTCTTCTTCTTCTTCTGTCTTCTTCTTCTTCTGTCTTCTTTTTCTGTCTTCTTCTTCTTCTTTATTATTCTTTCCTTTCGCTCATTCTTGGTCGTCTATGTGTGGTCATTTTTCATCAAAGGTCGTGTCATACTTGCCATGCTAATCTTCTCTGCATCGTTCCAAAATTTAACAGAATGTTTTGAACGGCGTTCTCGTTTCTTTCCCCGATATTCCGAGACAACAAATAAAAAAAGATTAATTAATCAATTAATTAATTAATTAATCAATTAATTAATTAATTAATCAATTAATTAATTAATTAATCAATTAATTAAGAAAAGAAAAGGCATACCGACCTGGAGAATCTTGACCCTTCCCGCCACATCCGGTCTGTCTACAGTGACCTGTCTGTCGAAGCGACCAGGTCTGAGCAGCGCCGAGTCGAGCACGTCAGGTCTGTTAGTCGCCGCCAACACGATAACCCCGGAGTTGCCCGTGAAGCCATCCATCTCCGTCAGCAGCTGATTGATGGTCTGTTCTCTCTCATCATTCCCCCCACCCATTCCAGCCCCTCTCTGTCTGCCCACGGCATCTATCTCGTCGATGAAAACGATGCAAGGAGCCTTCGCCTTGGCTTTGTCGAACAGGTCCCGCACTCGCGACGCCCCAACCCCGACGAACAGCTCGACGAATTCCGATGCCGCGCACGAGAAGAAGGGCACTCCGGCTTCCCCTGCCACCGCCTTGGCTAGCAGCGTCTTCCCCGTCCCCGGCGGACCCACCAACAAGCAGCCCTTGGGGATTTTGGCGCCAAGCGCCGTGTACTTGTCCGGATTCTTGAGGAAATCCACTACCTCTTGCAGCTCCAGCTTGGCGCCATCTACGCCCGCCACATCATCGAAGGTCACCCCTGTCTCTGGTACCTCCTGGAACTTGGACTGCGACCTTCCGAAGTCCATCGGGCCACCGATTCCGCCGGGCCCGCCGGGCCCCCCCTGCGCCCGCCTGAATAGGAAGAACAACCCGCCGAATGCTAAGAGCGGGAAGAGGAGGTTGCCTATCAGATTAATGTACCCGACTGTGTTGTCGCCCTCGCTCACGGAGATGTCTACGCCGTTCATCGCTAGGATATCGACGAGGTCGGGATCGTTGGGCAGCGTCACCGCCGCCCTCCGCCCATCGATGGCTGTCAGCTGAAGAGAGCTGCCGTCTTTGCTGAACCGCACGCGCTCCACCTTGCCGTTCCTAACGGCGTTAATGAACTCGCTGTAGCGCCATTGGGTGCCTTCGGGGAGATCGGAGGCGGCGGAAGGGGTGCGGGTGGCGGGGGCCTCCATCGACGCGGTCGAGAAGGGGCTAGATTGCAGGGTGGCGGCGGAGGAGGGCGCTTGCATAAGCGCCGTCTCCATCGGCGGAGATGACGCGGGAGTATCCGCGGCCGGGGAGAGCGCCAGCGCAGCCGGTGCGCTGCTCAGTGCAAGCGCCAGCGACGTCAACACCGCCGCGGGGAGCTTGCGCGCGAGCTGGCCCGCGGCGTCCTCCGCCGCTGCGCGCGCGCTTCCCGGGTTTCGCCGCGTGGCGGCCGCCAGCTCTGCCGTGACCTCCAGCGCGAGCTTCTCCCCAAGCATCGTGGAGCGCGCGAGCGTCGCCGCCGCCGCCGCCACCGCGCGCCTGCACCGTCTCGCGCCGCATGTGTGCGCCTTCACTACCACGCGCTCCACCGAGCGGTGCCGCACATCGCGCGAAGACGACGAAGATGCCGCCGCCGCCGAGAACGACGTCGCCGCACCCGTTGTCGCCCCGCTCCACGCCATCGCTGCGTGCGCCATAGCTTCCCTCTCTCCTCACCTCTGTCCGACCCGCCAAAATCTCCCCCTCACCTACGCGGGAGTTTCTTCCGCTGCGCTATTGGCGCTACTACAAGCGCGGGTTCACTCACTCTCTCTTTCCGCCGCTCTCTCACAGCACCCTCGTCTCCCAAAAGCCCTCCTTTTTTTCCCCTTCGGCGCTCTCCGCCGAACTTCCCTCGGTGCCCGACGCCACAACCACTCGTCCTCTTTTTTGTCGTTTGCGTCCCAGTAAGAGACAACGAGCAGTGCCAGCTCAGTGGAATCGCGTGCCCACACTGGCCGCTGCTTGTTGACCCGCCGGATATGGGCGCCTGAAGCTGTCTGCTGATCGACAGATGAGAAAAATATAGAGAGAGAGTATTGATACAAAAAAAAAAAAAAAGATAGATTGAAAAGGACAAAAAAAAAAAAAAAAAAAAAAAAAAACAGGACCTAAGACCGGATTCAAGTACGTATCCGCCCGACGTCCACATCCGTCTTACATGAGAGAGTGAGAGCGACGACGATCGAGCCTATCGCGGCAGAGCTGGGGCTAGGTCCCACTTACACGAATTAAGAGATATTGACCGTAGATATCACAGATCAACGGTCAGAATCTCGTAATCCGTGCAAGTGGGACCTCGCCCCTGGGCAAGCACCGTGGCACTACAGCCCCGCGCAGCGACCGGCAACTTTTTTCTTTTTTTCTTTTTTTCTTTTTTTCTTTTCTTTTCTTTTTTAAAGACCGGCTACTTTGACCGGCAAATTCGACCGACCTGCAACTTGGCCCACAGTTCCAATCCAAATGAGTTCGAACCGCTCACTTTCACATTGTCGCACACCTTACCTTTACCCTACTGCTCTCTTCCACACTGCCGCACACCTGTAGCGTACCGTTGAGACCCACAGCTTTACCCTGCGGTGGAGTTGTCGTAGGGCGAAGGTGTGTGACAGTGTGAAAGAAAGCGCTCGCGTTTTGAACTCGATTGGAAGCAGGCTCGGCGGGTCTTCGATTTTGACGTAGTTTCCTTTTCGCGGGGGCAGTGGCGCCACAGAGTGAAAGAGAACTTCGACAATTCCCACAGTAATTTGGAAAAGTCGATGAGCGCTCATCCAACGCCGAAGGCGGGGAGAGAAGGGAGGGGAGAAGGCGTCACCCGGCTTTGTGGGGTAGCAACGCGCGTCGTGTCTCGCGCAGCGCTTCGGATGGGCAGCTTCCCACTCTGAGGTGATCATTGCCGCTTGATAATTGATAATGCGACCTCGTCTCGAGATGCAGGAAAGACAAAATAAATAAAAATATGGCAACGTATCTTTCCATGTTCTAGCGGAACATTCACTCTCGTTTTGCATGCACATATCGAGAGTAGTGGAGCAAGGCCCAACGCGACCTACCGAGGTAGTGATCTCTGCCTGGGAATACGCGCCTGGCTCCTACCAATGGAACGGAAAGGGAAGAGGGAAAAAAGGTGGTGAAAAGTGAAAAAGCAGGAAAAAAAAGGAAAAACAGGCGCCAAGGACACTGGCTTGTGACTGAACGGTGGCACACTTGCGTAACTTCGTTTCTAGATAAATAGAGCATGGGTTCAAGTCTCGTGCGGAACACGGAGGGGACGAAACCGGAAAGAGAGACAAAAGAGCAAAGAGGCAGGCCAACCTCAAAGTGGAGACCTACGGGACGGAGGGCCCAGAAGCTGTCACCAACATGACGTTGTGGCACGACGTAAGTCGTTCGTTTCTGGGGCGGCCTGTGCAAGATTTTTGGAGACAGCGAGAGCGAGAGGGAGAGGGAGGGGGAGAAGGGGAAGGGAGAGGGAGG